ATATTTTGAACTGGCGACTCATTATACCCTACACAACTATGTTGTCAGGGTAATATAGCTTTGTGCAGCCCCAAAAGTTTGTAACGCCGCGAAATATTGGTCCTAGACCCACCTTTAAGTATACCGATCGTCATATCTCGACTAGCTGAGTCGATCTAGACATGTGTGTCCGTCCGTCCGTCTGTCCATTATAATTTGTAAACACGATACAGGCCACAGTTATGGACCAATCTTCACGAAATTTTGCATGTAGGATGGGTTCTGGCCAATGAAGACCCCTATTGTTTTTGGGAAAGATCGGTTAATATTTAGGGGATGAAATGGACCAAATACTAAATTTTTGTCGGTTTTTCTGGTCGCTCCACAGGCCTGAACATCGTGAAATTTTGCATGGAGAAGGGGGTCGGGCCAAAGAATAAGCATGCCTGTTTTGATAAAGATCGGTCAATATTTAGCGGGTCAAATGGATCCTGACTTTTGTGTGAAAAATGGCAAAATTTGTATTCTATAGCGTATATATTTACCCCTGAAGGACATAGACCCGAAAAGTTGATATTATATCCAAGAGGAGTGGTTGACCTTTAAATTAAGACCCATTATATTGTTGCATGTGCTCTGATGTGGGAGTTACACCTAAATATTTACAGGTATCTCCGTATTTGTATGTTTTTTAGTAACCCATTATCACTCTAGAGAGCCGAACATAGCGCTGATCGCTTTGAAATGTTTCATGAGGTTCCAGTTATGGTCAAGGACAACGCCTATAATTTTCGGTGATGATCAGATAATAGTTTTGGAATGAAGTGGACCGAAAACTTAATTTTATGTCAGTGTGAGGAAGAGGTGCTATTTAGCTCTAATCGGGCAAGAGTGTGCAAATATCACGAAATATTGCCCAGGCTCGGAATACACATCCGTAGAAAATTTGAGTTCAGTGGTAGTTGTGTAGGGTATCGTATGGTCGGCCCCGTCCGACTATACTGCTCCGCTCACTGGTTTTATAGTAATAATTTATTGATTTATAACCTCTAGGCATTTTTCCAAATAAAAATATTTTAATGTTTTAAAAAAAAAAAAATAAAATTCAGTATATGTGTCCTGAATATCAGTATCTTTGTTGCATTGTTTATATTACCATTTTAAAACAATACATACATATTTATTTATTTATTTTCTAATAACTTATAACAGAACTATGTGTATATGTACGAAGAGTTTACTTCATTTTTTTCTAAATAGTCAATAGATATGTTAATAGCCGTTAGATGTATTTTAGAAAACATTTCACTTCTGTTTATCGTAAAAAAGTCAAGACTACAAAAAATAATCATCTTTTTGCAGATATTTTACTATGAGTGAATATAGAGTTTAGATTTTGTATGTAAATATTAAATTGCCACGAATTTTGTTCGTTTGAATACTATTTTTGTTTTTGTAATTTCAGTCTTAAATTTAGTTTTTTGATTGATTTTTTTTTCAAAACATGAATAATGTGGAAAGTAAAATAAATCATTGGGATAAGTAATGCAATTTATATTTATGGTATAAAAGGACACAATGGAATAAATAGACGTATATAAGAAACAAAATATAAAATATTGACGGAATAGACGACACTTAAGTTTAAGTTTTAATTTATGAAGGAATTAAAAAATATCGGATACATTTTTATTGGCTTTTGTGTAAATGGTGCACCAAACACCCGAGGTCTGTCCGATGGAGACGAAATTTGGAATGGATATCGTATTGAGTATAGAATGACGTATGTAAAGATTCATTGAAATCAGCTCCCATATGTATATTTAAATGGTGCACCAAAGAGCCTACACTCAGTAGAAAAAGTCTGCGTACAACCTTACGGTTTACTCTATAATGCTCGAAAAACAATTTTGTTGCACAAAATCAGCTCTTCAATGAAGAAATAACATACGGTGAAATTGGTCGAATTGATGGTAGAACAAAGTCTTCAATGCAAAGAGTCCACATTCTGGCCGGCAGCCAATTCTGACAAGTCGTGAAACGCACAAAGTTTTGTGCAACAAAATCCAAGAATGTCAAATAAAACTATTTAAATTTAAAAAGGAATTTTATTAATTTCAAATGGAATTTTATGAATTTCAAATGCAATCCTTGGAATTTCGAATGGTAGTTTCTATGAATTTCGAAAGATATTCTATTAATTACAAAAGAAATTTTCGAATTACAACTTAAATGTTATGAATTGCAAATGGAATTCTCGAATTGTGAATTGTATGTTGTGAATTACTCGAATTATCGATTTTTTCGAGAGTAAGCGGTAATCGATATGTGAAAAACTTTCTGTGGTGGTAGTTTATTAAGTAAATACGTCATTTGCTGGTGGGATTTGCTTGTAATTTTATAAAAACAAAAATAAGTTAATAATTATGAATGAAAATGTCGGAATTTTTTGCCAACTTATTGACCAATATATTTCTTTATGAATTCTGAATTAAATTGTGCTAAAATATTAATTAAACAAGTTGCACCTGCTTATTATATGTGCTAAATATAATTAATTAGGGCGTTCGTGTACAAAATTAATTTTAAAATAAAATCGATCCTGTATTATTTTTATTATCCTTTTCTGATGATCATTAATTAATTAATTTCGGAACAAACCTCTACATCCGTCCACCCAGGAAACCAGTTAGCAGAAATGAATTCGTATTGGGTTTGAGTCAAAGCGCAACACCTAAAATTTTTACTAGCGTTGCACAGAAAATGGTAGCAAAACTTTGCACAAATTAAATCTTCTGTCTGGAGTATAATTGAGATAACAATGGGAATATTGAAGGGCCGATGGACAATTTTGGGCCATTACATAATATATTTGTGGCATCACATAATATATGTTTGCAGTTTAAGGTGCAGGGGTATAACGACCCAATTTTAATTCAGATTTCATTGGACAGAGCGAATTTATTTTTAAACAGTAACTTTTCTTTTTGTGTCTTATTTTCCTTTTTGTTATCGATAGCTAATTTGGCATCGATTCATCGGAAATTACGATAGTAAGCATTCGATATCGGATGCGGTCATGGTTAGTTCGATGATCTCGACAGAATAAACTCGAAAGTCATAATTTGACACCTGCTTGGAAGTTTCTCTCGAAGATATTTGGTTCCATTCATCATGCAGCATTTTTGTGGCCATTGCGTTAGAAGTAATTTTGCGTTGTCGGATTTGTCGTTCCATGGCATCCCATAGGTGCCCTATTGGCTTCAGATCAGCGACAGTATCCAAAGCTTAACTATATCAGCAGTTTGCTTGGGGTCATTATCCTGCTGGAAGTAGTTGTCGTTCTCCAGACGCATTTTCTCGGCGCTCCACATCAAATTTTTCTTTAAAATATTAAGGTACGCATATTTATCCATGATAGACTCGATGAAATGCAATTGTCTCACGTCACTAGTAGCCACACAACCCCATATCATTCTACCGCTGCCGCCATGTTTCATAGTCGGTACCAAGTTGTTCGTATCCAGCACCGTACCCTTTATCGCAATACCATCTTGCGCCCATTGATTACATAAAACGCAAAACTTATCTCCCTTTCTATTAAGGGAACCTCCCTCATTCTCGATTTTAAATTTTCAAGTTTTTCAATGGGCTGGTAAATCAATACCAAAGCTTGTTAAGGTTTTTAACTTTGCAGATATATATATTTGGAGATTTAAATGGAAAAGACAAATAATTTACAACATTTTTTTGTTATTGTTTTATGGGATTAAAGAAAAGTCCTTATTTTTGGTGGCGGGCATGATAACTATTCACTGGAACATCGGAATCCGAAAATGCATCGGAATCAAAAATCAACAAAATGGCAGACCTTTGAAAAAATATTTTTGGAAAATAGCCTATTTTTTACCACAAACCAAGTTAAACACTAAGGAAGATCTTGACCGATTGGATTTATCCTAGTTCATACCATAGCTATACACTCTCAGAGAAACGTCCCAAAATTTGCAATTGATCGGATTAGTTTTTGATGCTAGATTTTCACTTGAAATTTCATAGGGACGTTCTTGAATTAGTATAGATTCCAATTAAATCAGAATAAACATTTTTTGAAACCGAGAGTGGGGGATCCCCTTAACTTAAAAAAAAAAACCAAAATTTATCATATTGTAATGGATATAAAATATACTGGATTTTTTAAAACTTATTTCGGGATTTTTTTTGTCTAATTGTATATATATTTTGTACGCAGACTTTTTCTACTGAGTGTATATTTGTTCGATTTAAAATTAGTATATTAAGTTTTGTTGAGATCGGTTTAAACAATCTGAAACAATTTTTAATGAAAATACCAATGTACGCTTTTTTATAATTTTTTGTTGGACTTTTTAGTTTTTTAGTATATAATACGTACGTATAATACGTAAAATTAAACTACATCGTATGATAATGTCATGACATAGTGTTAAATTATTTCCGAATTATGTTTATTTCTATTTTGAAAAAAAAAAGATAAATAAAAATTCAGTTATAGATCAAATGACAGTACAAAACTACAAAAAAAATATTCTATTCAATGTGTACTTGAGCATACGTATGTCTGTCTATACGCACATTTTTTTCCTCTATGATTTATATTATATTAAAACTATTTAAGTACATTTAGAACACTTAGCAACAAAATTATACCAATTGTAACATCCTTAGTAGTATTTTAGTTTGTTGTTGTTGTTTTTTTTTTTTTTTTTAATTTTTATTTCACTAGATTCCCCCGAAATTTGGGGGACTGCGGGTGGGTTTCATTGATTCATGGCCAGGGTGTGTGCATCGGTGTAAACAAAAGCATCTAAAACTTTGTTCATCTATTTGTATACACAACTTGAAGTTGTAAAGTAATTCTCGATTCTTTCTTTTCTAAAGAAATTTTTATTTTATTAGTTGTTGTTGCTGTTATTGCTACCTTTTCTCATTGGGAAATTTCAAAATTTCTATAGGACAATGTTGCTTGGATGCTTATTTGCTTATACTCCTTCTTCCTCAATTTGTACAACAACATCATCCACATTATTATCATTAGCTTGAGGTTCTTCCACTCGCTCATCCGTTTCCACTTCTGTAGAATTTTGATTACATTGCTCCAGGATTTTCTCCGGTATCGAGAGTGAGCTATGCTTACGCTCAGCTAAAGCGGTTTCACTGTCAGCCTTCAACAGCGTCGAACGTCGTTCGTTTATTATCTGATCGTAGAAGTCGTTGTTCTGTTCCAAATTCCGATGATCCGATCGTATATAGAATATCGAATCATCATGTTCGGGAGCTTTTTGTACCTTGGGTCGATCATAAGTCCGTGATGAGTGACTTCGTTGCAAATTTTTAATACGTTCTTGCTGCGGCAAAGATTTAGTTAGCTCGACAATAGCAGCATTACCCATTAGTGGCAGGGAGTCAGGTCGTGGTTTTTTCAACATACCACAGTGGTTGGGTGATTTCAAATTTGTATTTGGTGGTGGGGGTGGTGGTGGATCAACGGGATTGATGGTGGTGGGTGTTGTTGTCAGCGATGACAGGGAGTCGGTTGGTTTCAATTGTAGTGCTTCGTCGTAATGTTCTAGTCCCTCTTCGGGCAGACATGGTTCTAAACTCGACTGACCGGAGAGTTGTCTTATTGGGGCAGGTGGTTCGGAGCATACTGAAAGTTGACTTCTGCAAGGAAAATATATACATAGGCATACATACATTAATAGATATATATATATATATATATATATGTGTGAGAAATTTAAACAACATATTGCGATACGTAGGGCGGGTACGAAATACGAACTAGAAGGGTACGAAAAGTAATACAATGTACTTAATATGCCCTAATATACCCTTTGTATTGGGTATATTGAAATTCGAAAGGGCAATCGATTTCTTGGTCCCAATTTATCACGGTTCATCGTATATGTTAATATTTAAATAAAGATAAGCAAATCCGAACTTTAAACAAGGCTTGGGATGTCAATGGAAAAAAGCGCCCACAGTCTTCAAAATACCGTAAATTGTGGAGGGATATTTTCTATGAAGGCTATGCTAAAATATTGCTATGCCATAATATGGGCCTATATCAAAAACTTTCTATAAAGAAGTTCCGATCAATTTTAGTTATTTTGAATGTTCATCTCAAGGTGATAATAGATCGAAATGTCCGAACTTAAAACTTGCAATATCGTAAATATGGAGGGATCTTTTTATGGAGGCTTTGACAAATTATGTACCTATATCGAAACCAATGTTGTTTTTCACGGAATGCCAGTTAAAGCCACTTCGCCACAGCCACAACATACGGCTGGAACCTTCAAAATATCAAAAATCGATCGGGACCTTTATAAGAACCTCATATCATGACAAATTTATATGGGTTTTTCAAGTTCCCCACTTTTTGCCTGAACATAACAAAATTTACTTACCGAAATTCTTTCTCCACCGATGGCGTTGCCGAAGGCCCGGAACAGTAACGTTTGGGGGAACGTAATATTGACTTGGGCACCACCTCTGGACTATGCAAATCGACTTGTATACGCCTCGAGTCTATACTGGAGGCTCGACTTACAATTGACGTTCGACTCGCGATTGACGAACAACGGACCGTCCAGCGGCCACTATACGATGAATCCGACATTGTGGAACATCTGTAATGAAATAATGAAAGAAAAACGGGAAAACCGCAACATAACGCATGGATTTTAGTGAACTACTGATCAGGGGGGAGAGGATATAAACGCAGTTGCATTACATTTACCTTCGATTACCCAACGGACTCGTAACTATTGCTTTATCCTCCTCATGCTCGATGGGTTTCTGACGGGCCAGCACGTGTCGTTTGGCTGTGTCCGAACGTTTTGTTCGCTCCGCCACCCGCTCCCTTTGCTTTTCGTTGGCCACTCGGCAACTTTCGTCGAACGAGGCCGCATGGTGCCAGAGCAGTTTGTTGTTGGCCGGCGGCGGCTGCAGCAGAGCACACTGTATCGATGACGTGCTCTCTCGGGTGGCTCTTTGAATTAAACTATTACTAATACGAGTACCACGATTTTTGACCTGGCGCCCACTGTTGTGTGACGCCGTTGTCGGTTGCGTGAATGTGGAGGTGTTGTTGGTGGTGGAAGTTGAGTTGGAGGCATTGGTTGCAGGACGTTGATTGTGGTGCGAGTGATGGTTGTGGTGATGGTGGTGATGATGGCGATGGGTTCGATGCCGTTTGTGTTCCGCCAACAGCAGGGTTTTGTGATTCGGCGAGAGTAAATGTGATATATTAGTGGAATAGGCGAGTGTTGATGAGGAGGCATGATGGGTGGAGAGGTTAGGCACAGAACCAGTGTAGGAGATACGTCTCAGTTTTGGTGAAAAGCGAGCAGATGCACTAATTCGTGTTGCGGATTTTTGTAATTTTGCAATAAAACATGTTTTCGATTAAAATAGTTTATGGAGTTTTTGGATGGAGGAGTTTTAGTTTTTTCTTAGCGTATGATTTATATTTGAACTATCGAATTGTTGGGTAATATTTGGTAATTTACAACAAAAATATTCTCCAATTTTTATATGTTTTTGTATCTTTTTATACAAAGCAAACGAAAGCGTGGAAGAAGTGAAAGAGATTAGATGTTTTGGCTTGTGACTTACCTCAGGGTTTTAGAGAATTTTATTAATTCTGCCGTTAGAGCTTCACGATCGAAGGGCGCGGGTGTTGCCTGTGGCTGTTCTGTAGCCGGTGATGAACGAAAAACACCAAATTGTTGATCCCATCGTGTCGTTTGGTATTGAAGACCTTCGAAGAGATTAAAAAATAGCAAGGTAAGACGATTGATATGTTATTCACATGGAATTTTATATTTAATCTATATCTATTTCAGAAAATTTGGAGCCAATTTACAAATGTCCTTCTGTCCATTGTCTGTCTGGCCGGCTGGTGCGCACCATAACCCTCGAAGGGAATAATCAAATTCATCCAAACTTTGAACATCTTATTATTTCCTCCAAACTTAGTTTAGGTTTGAAGATGGGTACCACTCCTTCTGGTACCTTCCACACAATATAGACAATATTGTGCAAAAAATCCTGTGTGGAACACCGAAGACCTTCTCCGCAAACCATAGGGCATATATCTGTCGGCATAGCCGACCGACACTTTTTTACTTGTTTTTATTTTATAGCACAACAACTTACCTATTGCACGCCTTTGAGATGCCGAACTACTTTGATTGCTACGCACTGTAATTTTACTGCCATTGACACCGGCTCTGAAACGTGCCGGTACCACTTTCGCCGCTGAATCTCTCGCCTCAAATGTCATGACACACGATGCGACGACAATAAAGCCACCAAAACCCATAACAATGGGTCCCACATATGAAAAATTATTCAAATGAAATCCTTTCAGATCATTTTTAACGCGAACTGTGGCATTGCCACGTAGTTCGGAACCGATGGATAAATAGTCAGCATAGTAACCTGCATCGGGTGAAAAATATATTTATTTAAACAAAAAATTAACACACATATATAAACTTAAAACATTTTATTTGCAGGGGGTGTTCATTTTCAGGGGAAACTAAATTATTTTATTTAAATAATTTTTGTGTGTTAAATAATTTATGTAAATGTAAAGCTTTGCAAATGAAAACAATTCAAAAACTCTCACAACCCCCCACACTCTGGCCAGCAGCAAAACATTAAACAAATGAGTTTTCATATTTCCCCAGCTATTCGATGAAACAAAAACTTAAAACATGTTGGAAAAAGTGATTATGTAAATTGTTAGACACTTACCTAATGTTGCCATTCCCGCGCCAAGCAGCAGCAATGTCACACCCAAAATCAGGGCTCGACATGCATGCCACAGGCATTTCGATGACATTTTTCCACGCACCACCTGGACATTCCATGTTGCACCTGAGGCTGGATGTGCACGACGTAAATTACCCAACGAATGTTTGCGTCGTTTGCTGGCAGCACTACCGGCAGTACGCCGGGAAGGCATTACATCGGGTTCAGAGTGTATCTGCTAAACGGTTGTTGTAATGTGTTGAGCACCCTTGTTGTTATGTTGATGTTTGAAGTGTGTCCTGATATGAATATCCTGTCAATGTAATATAGACATACATGTTTAGGGTTTATTACACTATTTGCGGTGTATTTATGTGTGTGTGTGTATGTTTTTCATGGAATCGGAAAAATTTGCAATCGGGTATTTTATTTAGATTTCTTGGAAGCAATACCAAAATTGACGTCAATAATTATTCATAACTCAAATTACCATGGTAATGATAATCTAAAATAGGATTACAATAAATCAGAACAAATCAATACTATTAAAAAAGTAGTGTTTGGCGGGTTATTTGGGATACCATTTGTATTTTGTTTTTGCAAAATAGTCAGGCTTAATCCCAGTTTGTTGTTTTTTATAAAAAACAACAAACTGGGATTAAGCCTGACTATTTTACTATTAAAAAATTAAATTAAATATTTTTTGAAGGACTATCATAAGCGTGGATTTTTTTAAATAGTTTTCAAGGACTATCATAAGCGTGCACTTTTTACAAAATATTTTTTCGAAGACTATCATAGACGTGGATTTTTTAAAAATATTTCCAATGACTGTCATAAGCGTGGATTTTTTAAAATATTTTTTTTCAAGGACTATCATAAGTGTGGATGTTTAAAAATTTTTTTTCAAGGACTATCTAAGCGTGGATTAAAAAAATATCAAAGACTGTCATTCGCATGAATTTTTTAAGAAATATTTTTCAAGGACCAAAATAAGCGAGAATTAAAACAAATTAAGAACTTTTATTTCAAAGGACTATTACAAGGCATGGATTTTTGTATAAAAAAATATTTATGCAAGGACTGTTATGAGGCGTGTTTTTAATATTTCCTAAAGGAATTATAATGAATTTTTTAAATATCGGATTATTATAATGCGTAGATAAATAATTCCATAGGATTATTATAAGGCCTGTTTTTTTAAAGATTTCTATATTCGGGTTTTACCACACTGTGGTTCAGGTATTATGTATTTGTGCATATGTTTGTAACAGGCAAAAGGAAACGAGATAGATACATGGTTCCTTCGGAGGATATGCATAGAATCACTTTCTAAATTGATCTATGCATGTCCGTTCGTCTGTCTGTTCAAGTTAAATTCTAAAAAAAGTACAGGTCGCAATTGAATGGTCCGAATTGAATGAAATTTCCTAGAGGTCACGTAATCGGCCCACGGACGAACCCTATTGAAATTGGGAAAAATCGGTTCAGATTTAGATATATCTCCCACATATAAGTATATATATATTTGGATTTGGACGAAATTTGGCACAGCGTACAAAACTTAATCTAGAATGACGTGTACTAAGATTTATATATAGCTCCCATATAATTTTTCGCCCGATTTTAACTGAACCGCTCGGTTCAGATTTAGATATAGCTCCCAAATATATTTACCTTCGACTTTATGTAAATTGTGCACTAAAGACCCAAAGTTTGTACGATTGACACATAATTTTGTGTAGTGTACTGAAGTTAATAAAAATAAATCTCTGGCAAATTTCATTGAAATCGATTCTGATTTATATATAGCTTCCATATATACTTTCCTTGGAGTTTAGGTAAATTTTGCCCCGATTTACATAAATTTGTCCCCTTGTACGCAAAAGACTCTAAACTTGACCGAATGAAATGAAATTTAGCATAGATTCCAGAAAGGCATAAATATCGCATATTTGAGTTCGTTCAATTTCATGTCAATGTTCTTTCGAAAGGGCGGAGTCTGTTAGGAGACATATGTAAAATATACCCAAAGTGGTGAAGAGTATCATATCGAGCCATATTCGCAAAAAAAACGTAACCCTCAAATTTAAAATTTTACCGGAGAAGGTTTGTTTTAATAAATTCAGATTTAATAATCAACCAATCAATTTTGGTAGTACGTGCAAATTTAAAAAAAAAACGTCCTTATTGCTTTATTGTTTTTCAAAATATTCATTTAACATGATATTTGTCTGTCATTTAGTAAAGTTTTTCCATTGAAAAATCCGTTTCCGTTGAATGCAATATTTAAGGTTAAATGAGATTTCCATGAATTGTTGTTGTTGTTGATACAGGTGTACTTTTTATTGCATTTTAAAAAATGAAGCCTTGGCGATAAGTTTGATGTGCAAATATCATTTGACTTTTAAATTCTTTGGATCAAACATTACAACTATTTATATATGTGTGTATGTGAATGTTTATAGCAATTCAATAATATATGAAATATGTATAAAATTTAACATATAATATATATATATATATATATATATATACTAGCGGGCCCGGCAAACGTTGTCTTGCCTAGCAATATTGTTGATGTATATTTTTTTAGATTTGTTTTTAATACATTGGTATTTACCAGACTTTATGTGTGCTCTGGTAAATACCAATGTATTAAAAACAAATCTAAAAAAATATACATCAACAATATTGCACATTTTAGTACTGAATTTCTACAACTTGATGTTTTTGAGCGAGTCTTCTTTCTATTTTTTGCCTTCTAAAGATTTGATGGATATACATTTATTAATATTTGAATTCGTGAAAAAATTTAAATTTGAAGGCAAATATAAATTTAGCTTTCGGATTTAATTAAATTTTCCCAAATTATTTATAAGACATCCGCATAGCGGTAACCCAATATTAACATATTTTTCTATACCCTCCACGATTTAATATAGAGTTTTAAAATTTGCAAATACATTGAAACTACTCCTATGATATTTGGTATTGAAAATGTACAATATTGGTTCACTTTTTAGGAAAGCCCCCATATAACGGTACCCCAATACTCAACAGAATTGCTTTTAATTTAATATTAGGAATACTTATTGAGAAGAAACTCTACCTACTTAAAATTATCAATATTGATCCAAGTATTGTGGTAGCACCTACTTAAACGTATCCCTTAATATTTAGTATTTACGAATAGACCCCATTTAAAGGTACTCCACATTTTTCGACCTTCTTGAATTTTAAAAGGTGTAAGTAAGACAACATTCTCCAATCTCCGACTTTTTTAATGTTTTTCTCAAAATTTTCTTTGGTAAAACTCTTCCCGCTGCAATTAAAACCAACCGTAGGAAAATGTGAGTCAAATTGGTGCAGTCAATAAAAGCACGTACACGTTAGCATCCAATGCGCAATTGTCTCCATGTAGGATTCGAATTTATATATTTATACTTCCCCAATATAAGAACATACCTTCCATAGCTAGCTAAATTGTTGCGATATTTGTAATCATTTGTAGCGATTATTGAACATTTTAACCCTACGGCCAATAACCGGGTACATTTGTAACTTTTTTGCATAAAAATGCTGTAAAATTTTTAATAATGGAGATATTTGGATCAAATTTTGAGGAATCATTCTTGAGGTATTTTCACACATAATCGAAGAAAAAAATTATAAATATTTTCCATATATGTATATAATTTTTACAATTTTTTAAAGTTATTACCTACGTAGATCAATAACCGTGGTACATTTGTACCCATCCAAAGATAGCTCTGTAACTCATAAAAAAATTGGACTATCGTGAGTTTTTTCTACAGTTTACGGGTCTGGTCTAGATGTAGGAACTCAAAATTATATATACATTAAAAGAATATATATTTAAATCCTCGTTATAGCATTCGAATGGGTTAAGCATTTTTAGTTATTTTTTATTAGGACCTTATTTAGGTGTTCATCAGCTCCTCTGCAAATTTTTGTGGCCCTAGACAACATGGAGTCATCAGGGCGACTTGTGGAAGTCAGATTTAGATATATCTCCCATATATATTTTTGTCCGATTTAAGGTAAATGGTGCACCCTATATATCATTCGATTTGCACGAAATTTGGCACAGCGTAATGAATAAGGTCTAGAATGATGTGTGCAAAGTATCGTGAATCGGATCATAGCTTCGCCCGATTTTGGGTAAATAGTCCACTAAAGTCCCTTGAAATCTTTTGATTTGCACGAATTTTGGCATAGCGTAATGAATTAAGTCTAGAATGATGTATAAAAAGTTTCGTGAAAATCGGTTCAGATTTAGATATAGCTCTCATATATAGCTTCGTCCGATTTATGAAAAATTGTGCACCAAAGTCCCTATATATCTTTCGATTTGCACGAAATTTGCACAACGTACTAAATTAAGTCTAGAATGATGTGTGCAAAGTTTCGTGAATATCGGCTCAGATTTAGGTATAGGTCCCATATATAGCTTCGTCCGATTTTAGGTAAAAAGTTACGAATTTTGGCATAGCGTACTGAATTAAGTCTAGAATGATGTGTGCAAAGTTTCGTGACAATTGGTTCAGTTTTAGATATAGCTCCCATATATATTTTCGTCCGATTTTATGTAATTGGTGCACCAAAGTTCCTATATATCTTTCGATTTCCAAGTATTTTGGTATAGGGTACTGAATTAAGTCTAGAATGATGTTGCTAAGCTTCGTGAAAAGATCAACGTACTGATGTAATATAAATTAGTCTCTGGCAAGTTTCTCTGAAATCGGTTCAGATATAGATATATAACAAAAACGCGACGTCTGTTAGGATACATATGTAGAATATACCCAAAGTGGTGAAGGGTATCATATAGTCGGCCCAGTCCGACTTTACTACTTCCTTACTGGTTCTTCCCTAAAAACCTTCCCACTTGAATTACAGATAACTGAAAGAAATTTTTAGTCAAACCGGTCCCGCCGTTCTCAAATTGATGAGGTACTATACGTTTTTTACATCAATTTTATAAGTAGATTTAAATTTTTTTTACTTCAATTTGAAAAGTTATTCTTTGTTTGGATTGACTCCCACGCACTATTCACGAAAACAGATTATGTATGAATTGGTTAAACACCCAATCTCTAATCCGGCAAAACGCATAGAAGCTATATAGCGCGCCATTTGTCAAATGATCTTAAAATCAACTCAAGAACTTAAATTACGGTACAAAAACAC